AGATTGACAGTCATATCTTGGATGAAGAGCTTTGAGGGTATCTTAAATCAACGTGCTCTGAAACTAATTTTAGATCAGGTTACATTACACATGGTATTGTGTAATTTGACAGGATTAAATAATAATGAGGTGAGATGAGAGTTACTGCCCTTGACATCGAGGCTGTACTTGAATGTGTGTGGCATCACGTAGTCCTAGCAAAACTGGAGTCAGTGGGAATTGGCGCAAACTCTCCACTGTTGGAGTCATATCTGACACATTGGAAGATGGTTGTGGTTGATGGGGGTCAATAATCTCAGCCCCAGGACATCTCTGGACAAATTCCTCAGGGTAGTTTCTAAAGCCTCAGCATCTTCAGCTGCTTTATCAGTGACCTTCCCTCCACCATAGGGTCAGAAGTGGTATGATCGATGATGATTGCACAATGTTCAGCACCTCTCAACTCCTTAGATGCCGAAGGATTGTCTGTCCAAATGCAACACTACCTGGACAATACCCAGGTTTGGGGCTGAAACATGGCAAGTGATGTTTTCATCACCTAAATGTCAGCCATTGGCTATCTCCAACAAGATCGTCTCACTGTTGCCCCTTAATATTCAATGTTATCATCATCTCTGAATTCCCCCACATCAACATCCTGGCAGTTACCATTGACCAAGCTCAATGGACTTGCCATATAAATTCTGTGGTTACAAGAGCAGCTTAGAGGCTAGGATTCCTGCAGTAAATAACTCACCTCCTGACTAGATTTTGTGCTCATGCCTTGGGTGCCATACTTGGATATTCAACTTTCTGACTCAGAACAAAGTGTCTCTCAGTGGAGCCATAGCGCAAGTGCTGTTCATTTTTATTGATTGGTTACTATCTTTCGTTTGTCACGAGCAATGCAACAGATCACATAACACTGTAATCACGTTTAATGTCCCACGGGTGAAGTGGATAAGTTGTTATTGATTTTAAGTGGTTAGTTTATTCCCCCTCCAACCACCACCATCCACCCCCCACCCGCCACTTGAATCAAAATTCAACTGAGTCTCATAGCCACTTTCCTTTGACTTCTCCAGTGGATTTTGATATGTGAAGATCTGGGCTATTTTAAGCTTGGTGAAGCAAATCATCACTGCTTGGAATCCTGGTGGTTGTGGTTATGGAGCTTGACAAATGGAAGCCATTAGGTTCATCTTGTCAATTAATCCCTGGTTTAAAATGTAGAACTCCAGTGAAAAGCACGATTTGGATTCTGCCATGGAGCCAGTGAAGCTGTTCTGTTGCTCTGACCACAGAAGCTTATTTTAATTTGGTTCTGGCTATTAACACTCTAAAATCCAGCTCTCTTTGCTATGGTGGCAGGATCAGAGATCCATTGATCCTAGGTCAGTTCCTCTCCTGCTGGGATAAGGAACTGGATTCTACTCACAAGATCCAAACTGTCTCCTTTTATAGTGTTTCAGTGCTGTGAACAACTCAGCTGTAGCACTTGTTCATTTGGCTCAGTTGATAACACATTCTCTTCTGAGTCAGAAGCGCTATTCTACAGGTTGTGTGTCTGACGTTCTCAGTGCAGTGTGTGGCAGGATCCACAGTAAAACTAGCTGCAGTATAAAATCATATCTGGCAGGGGCAGAAGTGCATGAGAATAATAAGCTAGCAGCCAGAACCCCTCACTCTTCTGGTAATCTTTAGCACTTTCATTGGTATTGCCATTAATGTAAAACAAAACCTGTATTCTCATATGTACAAATAGTGCTGGAGAAACTCAGTAGGTCTGGCAGTATCTGTGGAGAGAGAAACAGTTTTAACACTTCTAGTCTGAGAGTCACATCAGACTGTAAATGTCCTGAGGAAAGGTCACTGGACCCGAAATGTTAACTCTAATTTCTCTCCACAGATGCTGCTAGACCCCATGCTGAGATTTTCCAGCAATTTCTCTTTTTGTTTCTGATTTGCAGCATCTGCAGCTATTTTGGTTTTTAACCTAAATATTGATTGTTTCTCTCCTCCAGCGATGTTGCTGGACCTCTTGAGTTTTTCCAGCATTCTGTTTTCATTTCAGATTTCTAGCATTACTTTACCTGTATTCTAATATTTGTAATCTTTCCTTTCTACTCACAAGATCCAAACTGTCTCCTTTTATAGTGTTTCAGTGCTGAGAACAACTCAGCTGTAGCACTTGTTCATTTGGCTCAGTTGATAACGCATTCTCTTCTGAGTCAGAAGCGCTATTCTACAGGTTGTGTGTCTGATGTTCTCAGTGCAGTTAGTGACAGAGCTGTCTTTCAGATGATACTTGACACCTCAGAGACCTGCTGGGGCAGAGTATAAGATCCCACATTACTGCCCACAGAATAAGAAGGTTTCCCAGTGTACTAGCCAGTGCTTATCTTTCAGTCAATTACACTGAACTATCTAATCGCTTGTATCCATACAGAACTAAAGTTAGTTAGTTATGGATTAGAAACTTTGGGTTATCGCAAAAACATAATTTGCTGTATCCATGCAAATTCCTTCAGTTTTGTTTTATTTTCTCTTGGTATGTGAGAAAGATTTGCATTTCTAAAGTACCTTTCCCCCACCGCAAGACTAACCAATTCTTTGCAACTAATGAAGTACTTTTGAATTCGTTCGCTTGCAATTTAGTACCAACTATTAGCCTGCCATTCGACCATGGCAAAAGCTTTTTTCACACTGACTGACAGATCACATTGAACAGTAACTTCTGTGCTTTAAATATATCATTTATTAGAAGCTCCTTGAGTGAGCGGAGCCATCTGGTGCTGCTGTTACAGCCCACTGCACAGGTGTGACTGCTCAATTGTGTTGGGATGAGAGAAGTACACTCTTCTTTCTAATAAAGATTTGTCTGATTTCTGGGGAAGCTTAAGGCCTCAGTTCTTGTGCTGTGACATGAAAAGCACCTCAGGAATTATCAAAGCAATTTTGAGTTGGCAAAGCTTCTGAAAAGCATTTTTTTTCCAAGGGAGTCTACAAGTCTTTTTATATTATCCCACTCCATTTTTTAATGTGTTCAGTTTTTTTTTGAAGTATCTGCTTAAAACAACTGAAGAAAATCTGTCAGTGGGATTGTGGTCCTTTCACAACCATTCAAGAAAGAAGTAATTAATGATACTTGTACATTTCTATAAACGTGGCATAAAGCCAAGTATTTTCTAACCCCTACTCCCCACTCCCTCTCTTCCTGAAAGCATTAACTTCTTTACAGGGCTTTTCTTTTCTTCCACAGGCACCCTGTGATCCCCATGAGCCGAGATGAAAGAAATACTTGCGTTTCTGTAGTAACTTTCACCATCTCAGGATGACGAAAGTGCTTTGCAGTCAGTGAAGTACTTTTGAAGTGTGCTCACTTATAATTTGTAGATGCCAAGTGTTAGCCAGCCATTCAGTCATTGCAGCCTTTCTTGAATATAGATTATATTCAAGGCTGAGGTAAACATATCTTTAATGAGTAAGCAAGTCGAGGGTTATGGGGAAATGATAGGAAAGTGAAGTTCAAGATTATCAGATCAGCCATGATCTCATTGAAAGGTGAAGCTGACTTAATGGGTTCAAAGGTCCTACTATTTCTCATACGTCCTATGATCTAACCATGGCAGCTGAATCTGACCCTTCCCTCCTCTGGAATTGTCTTTAAGGTTGCAGAATGGAGCAGAAACCCAGCCTGAATTTCTCTCTCCTCCCGTCCCCATTTGTGCAAGTTGAAAGCCAGATTCAAAACTTCTGTTGCTGATTTTCAGAAATGTTGATGACAGAGTAGCCCCTAAATTCAACTGCTTTCCAATTCTTTAACCAGTGATTCCTGCTGGAAGAGAACATCTGTGTGGATATCCAGCAAGAATAGGTGTGGAGTTAGCTATGTGTGTTCTGAGGAAGCGTCACGACCCAAAATGTTAACTCTGATTTTTTTTTCTTCACAGATGCTGCCAGACCTGCTGAGCTTTTCCAGCAACTTGTTTTTGTTCTTGGAGTCAGCTATGATGCCTCTGTGGATAAATATCCCCATGCCATTCACTGCTGATTTTGATGTCTGAGCACTGACTACTTGGCAATTTATTAGGGAACATTGCACAGCCAATAACTCTACCCCAGCAAAGAGCTGACATCCTTAGCAAGGGAGGGGGAGAAACGTGATAGAATTGAGAAGCTGTTTCTGGTTTGCTGTGTGATTCGCCACTGTATGTAAGAGTAAACACAGCACAGAGCAGCTCTTGTTCCTCACAAAGGCAAGTACAGAGCACTCCTGTTAAGCATAGAACTGATTTATCTGCAATCTGTGTAGATTTACCCGGAGTGTAGGAGTCGATACTGGGTGAAGGACACCATGGGAACAAAAGCCTGTTTTCATTCAGGAACAGCAAGAGGTTATGTTTACAGTGATGGGCTGTGCAGGACTGTTTCAGAAACTCAGTTTTTCTTCTCATTTTTAAAATATGACTTATTTTAATGTGTGTTGCTCTTAAAATAGTGTGCAGTCCTGACAAACGAAGGCCTGAATATTTGGGACATCTTTTTAAATTAGAACAACACAGATTACAGGGCAATATGAAAGAGGTGCTTAAAAACATGAAAGTGTGGGAAAAGGTAGGCGAACAGATTATGCAAGTCAGAGAGCATTTAATATGGGATGCATCGACACAAGATTGATTGGATGCAGGGTGGCATGGCCTAGTTGGGCTGAAATGACCTGTTCCCATGTTTCCATGTATAAAGTGAGCAGACAGTTCCATGTGTTCAATGGGAGAGTCACTTTCTGATCCTAAATGTTGCTTGTGATTATTTCACGAGTACCAACAGCTCAGATCGATGTCTTTACATGCACTAGTTAAACAAACCTGACTGTCCAGACCATTGATTGTCATGCCTTTAATTGGAAGGGACCCAGGTATTTGATTTGTCTTGGTGTCACTTCCTCTATGTTGACTTCATTGTGTTGTTACCAGATTGCATTATCATCTTTCTTTGTGTTCCTTGACTAAATCCTCAAGATATGTTATTGGATCTCAGTGACCTATTGCAGGTAAGTAGGAAGCAGCGACAGTCATTAGTTTACTTGTCTGACTTCTATTACTTTATTAAATCTTTAACATCTGTCTACCTTCCTGACAGAATTGACTTTATATTATTTTGTTTAAGTTGAATTTGGACAAAAAAGCCGAAACAGTGGGTGAGGAGCAGGCAATACGTGAGTTTTCTTTTCCTCATTAACGACTTTGCTCAACACCTCATCTTGTTGAATTATGCCCAATCCCCTTGTCTGGTTTCACAGGAAGCTGTTGTTTCCTCCCCCTGCTTATCGACGTTCCTGGAATGCTGAATCTTGCTGGGTTCATGAACTCAAGCCAATAGTCACTAAAGAGAGAACTTCAGATAAAAGAGGGCCATTTGCCTACTTAGTTAATCTGTACTAAAAACAACTGTACAGGTCTCAAGTGTACAGTCTCATTTATGTCTTAAACAGTCAGACATTTTTCCTCTAGCTGCTCTTTCCAGATGGCCCATGGGTTAAATGTACAGAATAACATCCTGATTGATACCTACTTAGGTTGTATTAGCTACAATTTCCCTGTCGTCTTACTGCAATTCAGTATGGTATGTAATTAAACAAAAAGGGTTAAATTATTAGGACCAGTTATTATCTAGACAGGGTTTATGTTTTTTCATAAAGATCATGAGGTGATCAAAAGAGTTGATCATGTCAGTAGGGAGAATATGTTTGTCTGGGGAGTCCGGAACAATGGGCAATATTCTTAAAATTACAGCTAGGCTATTCAGTCAGGTTGGGCATCACTTCTTCATACAGTTGTGAAAATTTGGAACACACTTCCTCAGAAAGCTGTTAAGATACGAGTGAAGAGGGATCACTTGAGTGTTTCATAACTGGATTGATGGAATTTTATTGGGCAAAGGTGTGAAGGGTCTTGTGGTGCAGTGGTGGTATTGCTACCTCTGGGCCAAAAGGTCTGGGTTCAAGTCCCACCTTGCCCAGATGTGTGTCATAACGTAATATAAAAACTCAGAGCAGGAGTAGGCAATTCACCCCCTCGAGATGACTCCTCCATTTGATACGATCATGGCTTATCTCATCTTGGCCTCAACTCCACATTCCTTCCTACTCCCCATAACCAGTACTTAAATTTATTCAGTGTCCTGGCGCTCTGGAGGAGTGAATTCCACAGATTCACAACCCTTTGAGAGAAGTAGTTTCTTATCTCTGTTTTAAATCTGCTACCCCTTATCCTAAAACTTTGACCTCTCAATCCAGATTGCCTCACAAGGGAAAGTCCACTCTACATTCACATTGTTAATCTACTTTTGCAACTTGCAAACCTCAATTAGATCTCCTCTCATCCTACTAAAATCTAGCAAGTATTGGCCTAAACTGCCCAATCTCTCCTCGTAAAACAAGCCTTCCATTTTTGGAATTAATTTAGTGAACTTCCTCTGAACTGCCAAGGCATACAAGGCTATGAGCCAAGTGTTGGAAAATAGGATTAAAATAGTTGTTTTTGACTGATGTGGGCATGATGGGTTGAAAAGCTTTTTTCTGTGCTGTCTACTTCTCTGATGTCTGAACTATTAAGGATGAGGAAATTAAGCTGATCAGACATGGCACAACTGACTCTGAGGGACTGAATAACCTTCACCTGTTCCAATGTTCATACAGTGTAGAAAGAGGCCATTCAGCCCATCAAGTCTGCACTGCCTCTCCAAAGAGCATCCTGCCCAGACCCAGTCCCTTATCCCATCCTCAAAACCCTGCATTGTCCATGGCCAATCCACCTAACTTGCACATCTTTGGACAGTGGAAAGAAACTGGAGCACCTGGAGGAAGCCCACATAGACACGGGGAGAACACGCAAACTCCACAGAGTCATCCAAGGCTGGAATCGTACCTGGTCCCTGGCCCTGTGCTGATCATTGAGCCACCATGCCACATTGTTTAAAGGCAAATTTGATTTTTAATTTAAAAAAAATTCAGAGGTGTGAGGACCACTGGCAGAACTATTGCCCATTTATTGCCTTGAGAAGGTGGTGATGAGATACTTCTAGCATAATTCTCCGGATGCCACCACCCAGTGGCCAAGGGCAGCTGCTGAGCACTGTTTAAGTTTCCTTAGTATGGACCAGTGTTTGAGAGTCAGATGGCAGTGAAGAAAATGAGGCAGTATGACTAAACCCAAAAATAGTGGAAGCACTCAGCAGCATCTGTGGTGTGAGAAGAGCTTTAAGTTAATGTTTTGCGTTGATGTCCTTTCCTCAGAACTGAAAGCAAGTAGAAATGTAACAGGTTTTATGGTAACAGATGAACAAAGGGTGATGGGGTGGTAGGCGGAAGTGACGAAATAAACCAAGTGATAATGGTGCAAAGTGAATTTCTTTTCATATTTACCATAGAGTCACACAACATGGAAACAGACGCTTGAGTCTAACTCGCCCATGCCAACCAGCTATCCTAAACTGAATCAATCCCATTTGCCTGTGTTTGGCCCATATCCCTCTAAACCGTTCCTATTCATCTACCTATCCAAAAGTCTTTTAAATGTTGTAATTGTACCCACCTCTACCTCTTCCTCTGGCAGCTCATTCCATACATGTACCACCCTTTGTGTGAAAAAGTTGCTGTTTGGGTCCCTTATCAATCTTCCCCTCTCACCTTAAATCCTGTGCCCTCTAGTTTTGGGCTCCCATACCCTGGGGAAAAGACATTGGCTATTCACCTTTTCCATGCTCCTCATGATTTTATAAACCTCTGTAAGGTCACCCTTCAGCCTCCGACTCTCCAGAGAAAATTGTCCCAGCCTATCCAGCCTCTCATTATAACTCAAACCTTCTGGTCCCTGCAACTTCCTTGTAAATCTTTTCTGAGCCCTTTCTAGTTTAACAACATCCTTCCTATAGCAAGGTGACCAGAATTGTGCACAGTATTTCAAAAATGGACCTAGTTGTAGGGGAGGACAGTGTGAAACAGGCTGGTAGGCTAGAGGAGGTCGATGTTAGTAAGGAAGATGTACTAGGAATTTTGAGGAACTTGAAGATAGATAAGTTCCTCGGGCCTGATGGGATTTATCCAAGGATTCTATGGGAAGCGAGGGAAGAGATCGCAGGGCCTTTGGCGATGATATTTTCATCCTCACTGTCCACGTGTGTAGTGCCGGAAGATTGGAGAGGGGCAAACATCATTCCCTTGTTCAAAAAAGGGAATAGGGATAATCCCGGAAATTACAGGCCAGTTAGTCTTGCGTCAGTGGTGGGCGAATTATTGGAAAGGTCTCTGAGAGATAGGATTTATGATCACTTGGAAAGGCACAGTTTGATTCGTGATAGTCAGCATGGATTTGTGAGGGGTAGATCATGCCTCACAAACCTTATTGAATTCTTTGGTCGGGGTGTGGAATGCATTGCCGGAGAGGGTAGTGGAGTCGGCCTCATTAGGGGCATTTAAGAGGCTATTAGATAGGCAAATGGATGATAGTATAAGGTAGGGGTGGAGGTTAGATAGACCTTAGGTTTTGGATGAAGGTGGAGCAGTGGATGTGGTTATATATGGATTTAAGTAAGGCGTTTGATAAGGTTCCCCATGGTAGGCTCATGCAGAAAGTAAGGAGGCATGGGGTAGTGGGAAATATGGCAGATTGGATTCAGAATTGGCTGACCCTTAGAAGACAACGGGTGGTAGTGGACGGAAAATATTCAACATGGTGCTCAGTTACGAGTGGTGTACCACAAGGATCTGTTCTGGGTCCTCTTCTATTTGTGATTTTTGTAAATTATTTGGATGAAGGAGCGGAAGGGTGGATTAGTAAGTTCACGGACGATATGAAGGTAGGTCACGTTGTGGACAGTGCGGAGGGCTGTTCTAGGTTACAAAGGGACATTGATAGGATGCAGAGCTGGGCTGAGAAGTGGCAGATGGAGTTTAACCCTGAAAAGTGTGAGATGATTCATTTTGGAAGGACAAACTTGAAAGCAGAATACAGGGTTAACGGAAAGATTCTTGGCAGTGTGGAGGAGCAGAGGGATCTTGGCGTTCATGTCCACAGTTCCCTGAAAGCTGCCACCCAGGTGGATAGAGTTGTTAAGAAGGTGTATGGTGTGTTAGCTTTCATCAATAGAGGGATTGAGTTCAAGAGCCATGAAGTTTTGCCCCAGCTATACAAAAGCCTGGTTTGGCCACATCTAGAGTATTGTGTCCAGTTCTGGTCGCCTCATTACAGGAAAGATGTGGAAGTGTTGGAAAAGGTGCAGATGAGATTTATCAGGATGTTGCCTGGAATGGAGGGAAGGTCTTAGGAGGAAAGGTTATGAAAGCTAGGGCTTTTCTATTTAGAACAACGAAGGATGAGAGGTGACTTCATAGAGGTGTACAAAATGATCAGAGGTATAGCTAGGGTGGACAGCTAGAGACTTTTTCCTAGGGTGGAGGTAGCTATTACGAGGGGGCATAGTTTTAAAGCGAGCGGAGGTAGATATAAGGGAGACGTCAGAGGCAGGTTCTTTACTCAGAGAGTGGTCGGGGTGTGGAATGCATTGCTGGAGAGGGTAGTGGAGTTGGCCTCATTAGGGGCATTTAAGCGGCTATTAGATAGGCAAATGGATGATAGTATAAGGTAGGGGTGGAGGTTAGATAGACATTAGGTTTAGGGTAAAAGTTTGGCGCAACATTGTGGGCTGAAGGGCCTGAACTGTGCTGTACTGTTCTATGTTCTATGTCAATGTCTTGTACAGCTGCAACATGACGTCTAGCTCCTATACTCAGTGTTCTGACCAATGAAGGCAAACGTACCAAACACCACCTTCACTACCATGTCTACCTGAGATGCTACTTTCAAGGAATATGAGCCTGCACCCCTAGATCCCTACCCAGGGCCCTACTGTTAACTACACAAGTCTTGCCTTGGTTTGCCATACCAAAATCCAACACCTTGCATCTATCTAAACTAAATTAATGCCACTTCTTGGTCCATTTGCATGTCTGATCAAGATCTCATTGCACTCAAGATAACCTTTTTAGTCCAC